CAACATCCTAAAAAGCCCCTCACCAGCTTTCTTGTAGGCCCCCTTGAGATACTGGAAGGCTACAATAAGGTCTCCTTGGAGTCTTCTTTTCTGCAGACTGAACAGCCCCGACTCAGTCTGTCTGTCTGTCTGCCTTGATAACATTCTGATGTGTCCCTTCTTCAGGTGAAGCCCTGGGTGCTATTGGGAATCCCAGCGTGCTGGATATCCTGAAACGCTATTCAGAGGATCCTGTGGTTGAGGTGAGGCTCTTGGTGAGGGGGTGTTTCCCCATGGATGCAGTGCTGCTGGTCCAGAAGGATGAGGCAGGTCTCAGCTGCCATCGGAAAGCCGTGGCGCCGTCCTGCAGCCCAGGGCTGTGTCGTCGTTCCCGCAGGTGGCAGAGACATGTCAGCTGGCCGTGAGGAGGCTGGAGTGGCTGCAGAAGAACAAGCAGGAACCGGGTGCCAGCCCGTACCTCTCCGTGGATCCTGCTCCCCCAGCCGAGGAGACGGACGTCACCAAACTCCGCGAAACCCTCCTGGATGAGTCCTGCGCGCTGTTTGACCGCTACAGGGCCATGTTTGCCCTGCGAAACCTGGGCGGCCAGGCTGCTGTGCTGGCGCTGGCGGACGGTAAGGGCCAGTGAGGCTGCCTGCAGTCTGCTTGCTAGAAACCTGTACGGGTTAATCCAGGATTGGCCTTTCCCAAATCCGGGTGTGCTGGAGCTGCGGGGCTCCTCTTGGGCTCTTCACACCTTGGTTTCTAGAGCTGCTGTAACAAGAGCTACGTTGCAAAGTGCTCCATGATCTCTGGTGATTCGTAACCCCCTCACCATCCTCCAGACCCTCTTTTTCTGTGGGTCTGGGTAGGAGAGAGCACAGTCCGTAGTGATGGCTTGGGATCAACCAGTCTGACCTGGTGGCACCTCGCCCCGGGGTGTCGGGGTCCTGCTCTCCTGTCCTGGAAAGTCAGAGGCTGCCACCTTCACCCTGGGGTTTGGGAACAGCTCTGGAGAGGGGAGCGAATGTCTCCTGAGAGGGGAAG